CTTTTCTTGGTCAACCTTACACAGATGCCACTTATCAGCAGCAATCCTCAATTCTGTATTATTAATCTTTGCCTCTCTCCTGAGATCCAGTCCTTTGTTTAAAACTTCCTACTAAACATTTTTACTACCATAACCCCTAGGCACCTCAAATACAACCTGTCCAAACTTAAGCTCATGGTCATTTCCCTCTCCTCTTTTCTTTATTCCTCCAGACTACATTCACTGCTGCATCCACCATCACCAGCTGCCAACTCATTGTGATCCTATGTGTGTCAGAGTAGAACTGTGCTCTGAAGGGTTTTTAGTGGCTGATTTTTCAGAAGTAAATCACCAGGCCTTTCTTTCAAGGCACTTCTGGGTGGACTCAAACGGCCAATCTTTCAGTTAGCAGACAAGCACATTACCAGTTTGCACCACCCAGCCCACCCAGAAGGGGGAAGGAGTAATACCTGACAGACATGTCTCGTCTCCTATCAAGCCTGTCCACATAGCCTTTAGATCTCTGTCCACCCAAAGTGTAGCTGTAGCAGTGACCAGCAGCAGTGGCTCCACATAACTTGTTAAAAATGCAGAATCTCAGAATGAATCAGAATGATTCATATGCACATTAAAGCTTAAGAAGTGTTGTTTAGATTCTTTATGTATGTTGAACTTCTCAACTCCCAAAATATATCATGCCCTTTCAGATCTCTCTTTACAAAAGCTGTACCATCTGCCTGGATGTTCTACTGAACATTTTGCATCTTGCAAAATCCTATTCAGTTGTAGGGGCACCTAGCACAGGGCATAGTACATAGTACACCATTAATAAATATCTGAATGACTGGGTCATTTAAACTGATTAGTTTGGTGGGGGACATGCAGAGTATGAGGTTAAGTGCATTCAGGTGGAAGGTGAATGTTAGGCAGTTGGAAACAGTGGCTCAGGATTCAAAGGAGAGGAGGGCTGAGTTGGAAATATTTATAAGCAATTACTTGGAGGGTACCTGATGGTAGATGAGGCCACCCAGGTTTAAGATGAAGACTGAGACAAGGGATATGTGCCAAACCATGGGGAAGGCTGACTACTGGAGAAGGCAGGCAGTGAAGGGAAGGTCAACAGGGTGGGAAAGAACAAAAAGAGATGTGAAGGAGCTCTAAAGGGATGACGGATTTGACACATGGCTTATTGTCACCTTTGGCAACTGAAGCAAGGGGGTAGAATAGAAAAAGGCCAGAGATAAAACAGAGTCTCAACTTCTTTACACTAACAACAGAATGAGACAATGCTAGTGGGCTAGTGGAATGATCACTCTAAAGACAATCTTTCTAGGACAAGAAGGGAGAAAAAGGGAGATCGAATTGCACTCTACATACACGCAAACACACAACCTTTTCTTCACGTATCAGTATACTTAGTTCCAAAGACCAGGTCATTATGCAAAACTGGCATTATGTAAAAATGTAGGATGACCACATATCACAAAGTGAAGGATGATTACATCATTACATTAACTGCCAAATTACATCATCACATAACGGCCGAACCACTGAAAATCATGGCCCAGCCAAGGAGACACATAACTTTAACCATCACAGCCAGCGTTACCCTCGCCTTGCGCCTCAGCGTTCGTTACTACCAGATGTACGTCGTTAATTCACAAGAGTTGAAGAGTGGACTTTTTTTTACTACTGTTGTAAATGTGAAATGTCAGATAACAAGATAGTCGGTAAGTGAGAAGGTGTACATACACGTATATGTGTGTGCATAACTGTGTGTATACATATGTGTGTATACATAGCAGAGGACAGGTTGAAAACAGTCATACAACAAACATTTGCTGAACCCTTGCTATCAGCCATGCCCCATGAGCTAACACTGGGACTGTAATAGCGAACAACACAGACAGTTCTCCTGCCCTTTGATCTAGGGCCAACAGATATATTTGGTAATTGATGGAAATTCCACAATAGGGTAAGGGGTCAATGTAGGGGGGCTAGCCTTGGGGGCAACTTTTGTTCTGATGGTGGTATGATGGCAGGAATATAACTATTAAGAGGGAGGCACATGGAGGAAATCAAGTTCACACCTAATAACCTTAATTTTTTTTTTATGTAAAGGAAAAGATTCCAGGTAAAGCCAAGTGATAAAATATCTGTACTCCCCACTACAACTCTGAGATAGCATGATTCTCATTCTTAACACATAAAGCAATTGAAGCATCATAGAGAGGACAACGGTTTGCCCATCATCAAATATGGCTGGGAGACCAGAATCATTGGCCAGTTCTTTTTTACTTCCACTCACACTGACAGTGTGAAAAACAACAGCGCCCGAAACTTGTGGGTGCACGCGTCCGTTTACAACCACAGTCTCAACTCTGAAAGAATTTAACTAAGATCAGGAAATTAAACGGCTTGTAATAAAAGCCCTCAGTGCTTGGCACAAAGTCATACCAACAAAAGGTTCTTAATAAATGACAGATGACCACTGGTAGACATTAGGACATCAATGAGAGGCAATCAAAGAGAGAAGTATCTGGCTGTTTGAAAGGCAGACCAGCACAGATAAGAGCACAGGGTTGGGAGCAATTTTGTAACCTTAGCAAGCTAAGCTATTTACCCCCTCTGGGCCTCACTGTTTTTCCCACTTGTACAACAAGGATAATTATAATACATACCCTCCAAGGTTGCTAGGAAGATTGAGTGAGTATATGTAAAACTCTTAGAACAGTGCCTGGCATTTAATAAGTGCTCAAATAAGGGATTAATTTTACTACTGTTGCTGTTACTACAAGGAGCCCTGGTGGCACGGTGGTTAAGTGCTCAGCTGCTTACCGAAAAGTTGGCAGTTCAAACCCACCAGCCACTCTGCAAGAGAAAAAATGTGGCAGTCGGCTTCCGTAAAGATTTACAGCCTTGAAATCCGATGGGGCATTTCTACCCTGTCCTGTAGGGTCGCTATGAGTTGGATATCGACTCCACAGCAATGGGTTTGGTTTGGGGCTGCTACTACTGTTTCACTGCTACCACTACTATAAACAGCAGTGGTAGTAGTAGTAAACTGTTACTAGTAGTATGACTTGAACTTGAATTCTTAGCAACACATTCCTAAAATGGTCAGAAATATATGAAGTACTCAAAGCCATGTATCAATTACACAGTTTCTGTGTTGATTTCTAAGATGGACAATTAGAATAAAAATAGTTGTCTTGTGTAGCTAAAGACATTGTCCTCTAAGGAGATGTTCACTGAACCCTGGTGTACACGTTTTGAGCATAATGACTTTGTATGCATCAAAATATCGTTGGCTGAGATTGTGTCCATCAAAGTGATGCATTCCAGAAAAAAAGAAATAGAATTATCTGAACATCCCGGGAGAAAAATGTCCTCTATGTCCTTCCACTTAGTTCTGTTTTAAAAGTGGTCTAAAACGCTCTTTTCCTCTAAGATAAACATTGCCAGCTTCAACTTCAGTTTCGGTCTTGACAAAACAAAGGTGGGAACGTACCATGTAACCTGGTGATGTAACCTTAATCTTTTCAGGAAGCTTTACTTTGGAAATTTAAATCAAGTCTAAATTATATGTATCAAAAAGGTGACGGTAGTGCTACAGACTTTGATCAAGGATTGCTGGGTGCAGTCAAGGTGACTTCAACTCATAATGACTCCATGTGACAGAGCAGAACTGCCCCATATGGTTTTCGTGGCAGTAATCTTTACGGAAGCAGATCGCCAGGTCTTGCTCCCACGGAGCCTCTGGGCAGGTTGGAACCGTTGACCTTTGGGTTGGCAGGGAGCGCTGAATCATTGCCACTAGGGCTCCCTGATCGAAGATTTGACTCGTTAATAGAATGTTCATCCCATGACTAATGCTCACAGCTGTGGCAACCAACAATGGAATTAACATTTCAATAGGAAGCAGAGAGCCATCCCAGCAGAAAAGAGCCACCCGATCCTGCTTTACAGAGCACTATTATCCTCCCGGAGGCTAAAAAGCGTGCCTCCTATGGCCTCACCTATGGATTTTTTTCTTTTGGTTATATAAAATGCGACAAGTGCTTAGCCTGACAAACAAGATTAGTTGGTTGAAACACTGATAGAGAAACTGATCAGTTTTTTTCTAAGTGTCTAAATCATTATACATCCTAATGGTCGGCGCATTTTTTAAATACCTTTTTCTTCCCCCTCCCAGAGTAAGGCGCAGAGGAAAAACGTACTTGGTGAAGGAATTACCCCTGTACAAGTCATCCCATCCCCTCTTATATTCAAAATGAAACAGCTCATTGCAAACTCGAAACCCAGGTTACTAAATTTCCTTTTGCTCTGGACGGCAGAAATCAATACTGCGTTTTTGAAGAAATATCGGTTTCCCTACTATTGATTTCCCTCGATCTACTTCATAATTCACCCAACTGTTTTTACCGAGCTCTTGCCAGGACTCGCCTCTTGTACGAGATCAAGCAAGCCTAGGGTAGCGTTCCTTCAGCGCCTCTTTCCTAGAGGTACCTTGGACGATCCGCCGAAGTGAAAAGCTCAGTGTCTAGTCAATAATGGCGTTTGAAATTCAGCCTCTCCGCCTGGACTACTCGACACCTGAAAACTCGCCGTCCAAGGCTCTTGAAATCGGGTAGTCCGGGACGGACAGGACTAGAGGCTAACAGGGGAAAGGGCAGGCGCACACGAAGCACAGCCGCACCCGCGGCAAAGAATGGTCTGGGAGCACCAGGGGCACCGGCACGCCGCGCCCACCCGCGAACCCCGCCACCGCCGCTCCTCATCCCGGGGCTCGGTCAGCGCCCTCGAGACACACCCGCCCCCCGCACGGGCCCTGCCCAGCCGAGGCACCCTCCCGGCTCGCGCGCCCAGTCCTCCAAACCACCGCGTGCAATGCAGTCCGCACCCCACCACCGCCGCGGCGCCCCCAAACCGCGCCAGCCCCCTCCCCCACGCCCATTGTTCCCGGGTAGCCGCAGGCTGGGCGGCGGCGGGGCCCTGGGGGCCGTGTCGCCTGCACTCACCCGCGAGTCCGCACAGGAGCACGAAGGGCAAGAGAAGCGCCATGGTGGCGGCCGAGCCGTGGGCGGCGGCTGCAGGTAGGCGGCTTTCACCCGGGGTCCAGGTCTCCTTGCGCCTCGCGCGCTCCCGACTGGCTCGCAGCGGCGGCACCTCTGCTCCCCCGCCCTCGCTCGGCAGGTGAAGTCGCGTCACTTCCGGCTACGGCCCAGCCGGGCAGCGCGCTCCCCGTCCACCCGCCGCGTGGGGTTGCCATGGCAACCGGACACTGCGCGGCGGCTGCCCGCGGGGACCCTGCGGGCGGCGAACTGTCGCGCCCGCTGCAATGCGGAGCGTCCGGGTGCAGAGGCGGTCGCCCACCTCGAGCCGGAGCCAGGTCCCTGCCTCCACGCCTTCAATTAAACATGGGGATTTTGTGCCCGGGGGTCGGGCCAGCCCCTCTCCCCAGGCAGCTGAAACTGCGGTCGCGCCCTCGCCCCGGGCGCGGTCCCAGATTATCGTCACCGCCTCCCTACGACCCTGACGGGCGGCTAAAGCCGTCGGCTCTCCAGCGCCCACCCCGCCCTGTCCTCCAGCGCCCACCCTCCCCGGCCCTCGGGAAGGCGGGGGGTGAAGGACCACTGACTGCCCGATCTCCGCGTTTACTGCGGGGGCTGGGCTCTCGCACCTGAGTCTGGGGGACGCGGGCTGGGCACACACCCCACTTGCTCGCTCCCTTTGAGTCGGGGAGGGCCGGTGTGGAGGAAGGCTCGAGGAGACTTCCCAATCTCTACTAATGACGAACTCCTAAACTGCAACTATGGTTTTGGAAAATACCCTTTTTTTTTTGTTTTTTCCTTGCATTTAAAGGATATTCTATTTGGTTAGCGCAGCGCTAACCAAAAGGTTAGTGGTTCGAACCCACCCGGGAGCTCCGCAGGCGAAAGACCTGGCCATCAGCTTCCCATGATTCCCTTAAAGATTACAGCCTAGAAAACCCTACAGGGCAATCCTACGCTGTCACATGGGGTTGCTATGAGTCAAAATGAACGTCAAGGCAGCCAACAACTAACCCTGAAATTGTTAGATAAGGATCACTAAGTTTTAAAAATGGGGCTGAGTAGGTGTGGTTAAAGGTATGGGGGCGGGGATGCGGGGATTTAGAGCTTGAGTGTCCCGTCAACACTTTACTGTCGTTTTTGTCTCCTGATGTCCTTAGAACTTACTCTTGTGTCATTTCGCTGCTTGTTATGGGGTTGTTCCTCCCAGATAAGGTTTATTTATAACTGCAGAGAGATTTTGGCGTTCTGAAAGTTAGTTCCATATCAGGAGTGAAATAGAGGAGAACAGTGTACTGCAATGGTGGAGAGCTTGGGCACAGTGGGGCAATAACTGGGCAAGTTATTTAGAAATAAAACCTACCTCAGGGGGTTGCTATGAAAATTAGATGAGATAATGCACAAAAAATGTTTGGCATAGTGCCTGGCACATAGTAAATACTCAGTGGTAGCTGCTAATAAAGATAATATTGGAAAATTCTTATTTATTGAAGCAGAAAAGAGAAAGGGCAGAGGAAGTAAATCAGTTACAATAAAGACCAAAATTGTCCAACTTCAGTTTAGCCTGGTGGTTTGCACCCCCTGCTGCACATTAAAATTACCTGGAGAACTTTTTAAAAATCGCAATGCTACAGCTTCACTCAGTGATTCTGATTTAACTTGTCTTAAGTAGAATCTTGGCATATCAAAGGCGTATAGATGTGAGACAGGATAAGTAACTGCTAGGGACTTACTATTAGTTGAGGAAACAAGAATTCTACTGGATATAATTGTAGATACATAATATTTGGAAGTAAAATTTTCCATCACTACATCATACTTCATGAAATTAAGTAGAAGAGATCAAGTGTTGAAGTTGTTCTCATCTATTTCAAACTGTCTTACGAGAACCTTTCTTAGTATTTCTTAGTATTAACTGCTTCATAGTGGTACACATTTATTGTAAACTTGCTGTAGTTGATGGTTAATGTCTCCTCCAGGTAGAAATCAAATCCACCCTTCAGGGATCATCTTAACCATTTACTAGAGTAACTCTTTAGAGATCGCCCAAAAGACTTTTCATCTTAACCCCTTTCCTTCTTCTGCTTCTTTTATTTTTTTTTTAAATAATCCTTACCTTTGCCTTCTTCTGTGGTAGTCATTTGCATACCTCTTCAACCACTTCTTTCGGTCTGAACACTCCTAGGAGGCTGAAAAGGCACGTTCTTCATCTTTGTTGCTCATGGAAGCACAGCACATAATAGGCTCTCAAGTATTGAGTTGAATGTTTATTTTCTGTATCATATGTTAATAAAAGTCATTTAAATATCCATATAATAAATCACAAATGTTACATCTTAAGTTTTTAGAATGGACTTTTTAAAAAATGTAAAATTTTATAAACTTAATGTTTTACATGGAGCCCTGGTGGTGCAGTGTTTAAGAACGTGTCTGCTAACCAAAAGGTCGGCAGTTTGAATCCAACAGCCACTCCTTGGAAACTCTATGGGGCAGTTCTACTCAGTCCTCTAGAGTTACTATGAGTCAGAATTGACTCCACTGCAATGAGGTAATGTTTTATATACTTCTTTAAATTACTGAACACAAAGTTTTAAAAATCTATCTCTAAGATTTAAGTAACTATGAAAAGAGCAGCTTACCTTATTTAGGGAACTACTGTTCTTTAAACACACATATGAAGTCACTTTTAGATGTTGCTTTGTGACTGCTGTAATGAGACAATCACATAATTCTGGAACATACAATTATACATTGTTGGGTATCCTCAAATGAAGCTAACAAATAGCGCACAACCATTAAATGAGTTGTCCTGTCTTAGTAAAGTACTATGAACTCCTCAATGTATAACCTTTAAACCAGTAGAAAGGTAATTCCAGTCCATCAAAAAGGTGATAATTTTAGAGCCATAAATAACTCGGTGGTTAATAAAGCATCCATCTTTACAAAGATTTCTCAGCAGTAATGGATCTTTTGACACACCCACAGACAATTAAAATCTTACTAACACATTCAGGGGTTGACTTACACTTAAGAATGAAAAATTTTCACTTCTTCCCAGCTTGGAATATGAAGGCTTGTGAAATCAGAAACTTCCTATCATACATCACACCACTGATTTTTATAATTTCTAGAAAGTGATAGTGCTGTTCTTAACAAGAAATGACGGTTTGTGTTACCCAGAACATTGGTTTTTTTAGATTAATACCATTAAAATAACCTACATGTCATCTTTTTCTAATGAGAAAAAGTCATCTACTTACCCTAAGCAATACATTTATAAATACACACATTTTTAGTTTTATGTCATGTACATAAACACTAATACCCTAATATTCATAAATCAGCCCTTAGGCAGTGGCCTAGCAATGTTTAGTCCTTTGTTTTTTAGATTCCTGATAATGCAGATTCCAAAATAAATACACAAAAGTGATAAGTTTATACAGACCAAAATTGTGGGCATGCAAAGATAAGTTTATAAAATCCACAAATGAAAAGGCTGTTTCCCTCTTATGTAGTTAAAAAAGGCCTGGTGGAGAGTGACTAAGAGCTTGGATGTTCTGTTAACCAAAAGGTCAACAGTTCAAATCATCCAGCTGCTCCTTGGAAACAGCTGGGGCAGTTCTACTCTGTCCTATAGGGTCACTAGAAGTCGGAACTGACTTGATAACAGCGCGTTTGGTTTTGGTTATGTGGCTAAAACGCACGAAACCAAAAAAACTTGCTGTAAAACTTTTTCAGGATTTGGTAAAGTAATGGAACCTGAATAAAGTAACAAGCATAGAAAATTCTGCATACGAGCATCCTTGAAGCCTGTACGTGGACCCTCAGTACAAAACATCTACCTTAAAGATCCCCTGTAGCCTTGGCGGCTCGGTGGCTAAGAACTCGGCTGCTAACCAAAAGGTCAGTAGTTTGACTCCACCAGCTGCTCCTTGGAAACCCTGTGGGGCAGTTCTATCCTGTCCTATAGGGTTGCTATGAGTGAGAATCAGCTTGACAGCAATGGGCTTCGTTTTGATTTTAAAGATCCCCTACGTTAACCTGGAGTCTCTGCTTTTTCATTTTGGTTGTAGTAACTTCTCTTTGCCCCTCCAAAACAACAACAAGAAAAAACAGTTGCCGTCAAGTCTATTCCAACTCATGATGACCCCATGTGTTTCAGAGCAGAACTGACCTCTGTAAGGTTTTCATGGCTGTGACCCGACCTTTCGAAAGATCGACAAGGCTTTCTTCTAACGAGCTTCTGGGTGGGCTCAAACTGACAACTTTTTGGTTAGTAACCCAGTGCTAAACTATTGATGCCATGGAGGGAATCTCTGTTTGCTGCAGAATTCTTATTTTCTTCCATTGTGTGAGGCATTCAGAGGGCCTGCAAATGCTTGTCTTTCTTGGAAATTTTCTTGAATGAGTTAATCCATATAAAGCATTTGTCATGGTGCCTGGAACCTAGCAAGTACTCAAATTATGTTACGTGTTATTATTGTTATTATTTCCTTGTTCACCATTCCTGCTTGCATCTCAAACCACTTCTGGGATCGTCTTCCTTCTTCCAGAATTATGTCCTTTAGAAGTTCCTTTACTGAGGATCCCTTGAAGGTAAACTTTGTTGTTGTCCGTCTAAAAATATTTATTTTTAATTAGCTGTCATTCTTTTTTAAAATATTTTACTGTGTTTTAGGTGAAAGTTTACACAGCAAATTAGGTTCCCATTTAACAATTTTTATACAAATTGTTCCATGGCATTGGTTACATTTTTCACAATGTGTCAACATTCCCATTATTTCCATTCTGTTTGTTCTGTTTCCATTAATCTCACTTCCCTGAAGGAGCTCTGGTGGTGTAGTGGTTAAGTGCTCGGCTACTAACTGAGAAGTTGGCAGTTCGAACCCTCCAGCTACTCTGCGGGATAAAGATGTGGCAGTCTACTTCCGTAAAGATTAAAACTAAAAGTTACTGAAAAAGTTATTTCCAAGAAGCAGCTGGTGGATTTGAACTGCTAACATTTGTTTAGCAGCCAGGCTCTTAACCACTGCACCACCAGGGCTCATCCGTAAAGATTACAACCTTGGAAATCCTATGGGGCAGTTCTACTCTGTCCTGTAGGGTTGCTATGAGTCGGAATCGATTCATCGGCAACAGGTTTTGGTTTTTGGTACTCATGAGTGATACTGTTTATTTTATAAGCCCATCTGTTATTTGGATGAAAGGTGAGCACC